TACCCCTACCTTGTGCACATACTACGTATGCGTGTTTTGTATGTAAGAGTGTATGTATATGTATGTGTATAAACACGCGGGGGTCGGATGTCCTGCTATCTGGAACGTGCAACGCGTGAAGCACCGACACGCGTTGCTCTTTCGCCACGGAAAAGCTTTTCGCAAAACACCGAATGAGAGCTTTGTGAAAAGCGCAATTGACAGCGCCTTCCTATCAGTAGACGAAAAAATATCAGAGGCGAGGAAAAAAGCGTCGGTGCGTGTAGAGTGGTAGAGGGACAGTGTTGCGAATCGGAGCGATAGAGACGCACCCGATAAAGTACTTGTCCTCTTCTCCCTTTTTTTTGTCGCATTAATCGGTTAAACTTCCATACGCGTAAAGCTGACGCCGTAGACTCGTCGTGATATTCGATGAAAATCTGGTCGATCGCTCTTCTGGTTCTCTTTGAGAGACGAGAATCCAGTTCATCTCGACGAACCGCCTGGACGAAAAGTGCGATTGATTCTGAGTAAAGTCGTTTATCTGCCTGTAAAAGCCGGTTTTCGTCTTTCATTCGGGGCAATTTCGTTTTTTACGGGAATGATTAAAATTATGAAAGGGATGGGAATTTACGCGACTTTACGCTTTGCTTGCAAACTTAAATTATAATAATATGTAGCATTCAAATATATTGTTGCTGTAATGAATGAGCTGGAATTTTTTCTGTTTGAGAAGAATGATTCAGTTTTGAAGGAGAATCGACAGATCGTTAAATTGGAAATCAATAATGAATTCGTGAAAAATTCTTTATTATCGTTCCGAAAGTAACATCGTATATATATATATATACGGAATAATGTTATGGTGTCTTGTAATTATGTTAAGTACGCCATCGCATAAGCCGTATAGTGTCGACTACAGTGAACTATCACCGCATCCGATAGTTGGTTGCCCCGAGATTCACCCTTGCAGATGTCGAGAGCAAGATGGGTTGTGTGAAGGAGGTAGGGAAGAGCATATTGCGCGAGCCAGCCTATAACGTAATGCTGTTACAGAGTAGCGCAACCGACCGCTCTTGTATGATCAGATGTTAACTAACAGTACTTTGGTAGCGCGCATGCTTAACGCATGGCTCTATCGAGTATTTGCCGGCATCGCATCTCGTATACCACAATTTAATTGCATTTGAACACAAGTTTTTCAAACTTTCACGAGCGCGCGCACCTATATTGACTCTCTAATATACATATATATACATATTAGATATAATGTATATATACTACGTGTAATGTATAATATACGTACCCAGATAGAAATAAGTTTTCTATAAAGTGATAAGACATTAAAATGATTTGAAATAAAATATTGAAATGCTTATATTTAAAAATGCTTATTAGTAGTGTTATTTTCTCTCTATGATTATTTTTAAATGATTCGTCTGCATCGAAATTACATCATGGATTTGCGGAATAATTATTATTACGTATTAATATTATCAATACCACGGAAGAATAGCGAAGAAATACGAGATCCTAATATCGCAGAAAATATCTTGTACTTAAATAATCAAGAATTTTTTACCAAAAGTTAGCAAATTAGCGACTCATTTTAAACTCTTCTCACTGATCAATAACCATTTTCCTTGAATTTTTTGTCATCTACATTAGAAGCATGTTGATATTCTTTGGAAAATTTGTAACTCGTGTGCAGCTATGGTCGCATGTACCAGAGATAGTCGGAAAGCGTCGTGAGAGAGAGTGACGATAGGGAGGTAGAGAATGAGAGAGCGAGAGAGAAGGTGAACGGGAGGAGCACTGTTGATGGTTGACGTATCTGTATGCCGCAGTGACGGCAGACAAGCACGTATATCAAATAATTAGATTTCGGCCTGAAACGTCAATAACCATGTCAAACCATTACCCGTGCGAGACCCCGTCGACCGGTTCAGTGCTGGTTGGTCGGTCGACCGACGACCGGCCGGGAAGAGCCGCATGCCTGTCTGACTGCTAGACTGCTGCCTCTCCTGCCTAGATAGCTGACTGGCTGGTTGGCTGGCTGGCTGCTCGCGAATTTAACCGAGTTAGCAAACAACTCATTTAACGAAATTAGGGCCCCGAGCGTCGCTTAAAATCGGAGAAATAAAATTACGCTGCGAAGCGACGGGGAGGGTGACCGGCACCGGCAAACAGGAAGGAAAGGGAGACGTTCGCTTCGCGTTGAGACTCGGCTGTGTTGCTGCTGTTACTGCTGACGCGCTGGCCACGCTGGGCGAAAGGAATTTTTTTAATGGAAACTCGTTACTAGGCTAAACTCGTGGCTTCGCGCGCGGCCTCACTGTGAATCGGAAATATATATAAAAATATGCGATAATTGCTTTTTACATGTTGCAGCTAGATACTCGCTAACTATGATGCGTTACAAAATTTATTTTTTATGCCTTTTTTTAAACGAGCATTTTAGAAATCTTCAATGTTCTATTGCTGACAGACGGTGTTTCTGTATCTGTACAAATGCAATCTGCGTATGTATGAGGTAAAATCTAAATTTATATATTTTTTAAGAAATATTTCTCATACAACATATTTAAAAATTGCCTTTATAATATTACGTAAAGAGAGATGAAATTTTATTTTAACAAGAGGAGAAATCATAGGGGGAATACATATCTACATACTTTTATTTCTATACTTCAATGAAATTTAAAAGATTTTACCTCATAAAATATCTTCATTCATTTTTCGTTCTCGATATTCTTGGAAAGGAGGTGGAAAAGATCCGGGTATATACGTGAAATGAGAAGGAGAATCTTGAGATACCGAATTTGAGGGAGACAAAGAGAGAGAAAGAGGGAGAAAGTGTGTGCGTGCGTGTTATGTGTGTGTGTGTGTACGCGAGTGTAAAGTGCGAAGGAAATGTCGTCGGCGACGTCAGGCGTTGCCGCTCGGACGAAACAATGCACGTTGCGCGCCTTCCGTTCGAGATATGATTCGAGCGTGCCGTTTGCTCGACGTTTCACGTTACTCATACGAACGTGCGAGAGCGACACACGCGCAATCGCCCGCATTGTGCGCACCAGGTACATTGTACGCCGAGAGAGAGACGATACATACATAGATACACATACATACATGCACACATACATACATACATACATACATACATACATACATACATATACATATATATATATATATATATATATATATATATATACACACACATATATATATATATATAGAGTAACAGGTTCAGCGAGTCGGTCTGGCTATCGCGGCTTTAGTATCTGACAGCCTCTTCCCTCGTCTTCTCCCTTCATTCTAACGTCATTGTCCCTCGCCTCCCACATCCATAGCGACTCGCGGCATGCCGCGAATTCAGGAAGTGACGTCACTTTGCTACCTTTTTAACCAGCACCATTGTTGTCTCTCGGTTACCAGTGAAAAGTGGAGCAAAATATCCAAGAGAATCGAATTACGTATTGAAAAAGGACAGAGAGATATTATTTAGATATTCCATTTTTAATAGATCCTTTTGTATGGTATATGCGCGCGTGCGAAGAAAATTCAGTTGCAAATTTAATCGGTGTCGTTGTCGACATATTCAATTTCTACGAATGGTTTTGTCACTCCTGAAAATTGAGTCGGCGGTGTCATTCGACCAAATTGATCTCGCGTCATAAAATAGATATTGGGAGATAGAAATGACGTTTTTAAACATTTTTTTTTTAATCACACATTCTCCCGGCCACGATATAACGAATACAAACGTGAATACGAAAGTCGAATGTACAAAAGAAATAATTTCGAGCTCAAGCAAATTTTCCTGATTTAAACCTCGATAGAGAAAAATGGCACCTTTTTTCCCCTCTTTTCTTTTCTTTTTCATACAGCTTTGACGAGCTTGTAAAGCGCGTGAACGTGTTTCGCCCGCCGGTTTTTGAACTACTGAATCGATAAATTCGTAATCTCATCTCGCGATCCTGTTAGCCGTGCGCTAAAGAGAACTCGCGTCGTATGGCGGCGAGCAATAAGAGTTTGCGCCAGCCGAAATCGAGTTATTTACCTGATTGCGAGTTTTGTGAAAAATCGTAATGAACTTGGGTCGTGAGTATCCCTCAACTTTCGCAATTTAAACGTCGAGCTCGGTCGGATAATTGCGCAGGTCGCGGAAGCGCGAGACCCGCCACGCGGAATTAATACATCCGGCGCTCCTAAATCCGCACGAGATCATTGTGCGCGATTTTATCGCGAGTTTTACGCTCGGGACTTTTTCACCTCGAACTCTCGTTAGTGTTTTCGCGAGTAAGAACGTCTTTCGGTCGACGTAAATTTTTTTCTCCTTGCTTCTTCGGAAATTTAATTACCGAATCGCGAGGCGGTTTACTCGCGAAGAAATAAATTTGCATAGGCATTTATTAATTTCCTGACTTTGCAATCTTTATCTTTTTTGTTCGCCGCGCGGTATATCCCGTATTAATATCCTACCTTGCCATTGTCTTTTGGATTTACGGTAAGCTCTCGTCTTGCGTCTCTTATTCAATTAAACTTTGCGAAACAAACGGTAACGAATTTAGATATTGCGAGATGCGTTCAACTTATAGAAAAAGATACGTCTTCCATCTTCCCTCGTCGCGAGAGACTCCTTTTCGAGTTCATTGACACCATCGGGAATAAGCCCCGGGATTAAGTTGACCGCAGTAGTATAAATCATTCTCTAGACAGACATTGCGATTGCGGTCGATCCTTATAGCGTATTCCACTTTAAGTAGAAACCACCAATCATATAGTCAGACTACTTTGCTATATTATCGCATATCTATAGATTGATTCAAACAGCGTATAAGATATTTAATTATTAATATATGTCGAGATAAATATTAATATTTTTTAATGATATAGGAAATGAAATGATTAATGTATACTAAGATAGATATTAATATATTTTTAATAATATAGAATAAAATAAAATAGAGGAGGAAAGAGAAATATTAGAAACTAACAATTAATGATTGATATTTCAGATCAATTTCGCAGGACGGAGATAGAAGCAGTTGATACTCCCATGTTGTAGTCCGAATGCAAAGGTTGGAATCGAGCACGATCGCCAGCAATGATCTTCCAAGTAAGTCAAACGAGTTATCTAACGGTAATAAAAGCACGTACCATATAGTCGATGGGCGGTTCTCGTTGTCGCTGATAGTAGCAACTTCCTATCGGCTTTTCAGACGATTGCTACCACCCGCGTTCGCCGATCGGCTCTATAGATAAGCAAACAGCCGAAGGCGCGATACGTAATATTGTCGATTCTCGCATATCTACGCGCCGTTTCCGTATGTCGCTCGATCGATGTGACCCGCTTTCTTGTTTCTCGCTCTCGGGAAACGATTGTTCTCTTTCTCGTTTTCGCTCCATCTCTCTCCTTTCCTCGTTTCCTCTCTCTCTCTCTCCCTCTCCCTTTCTTTTTGCTCAAAGCGAAATATAGACGAAAGATGACGTCTTTCCGTTTGGAAAGTAATTCAACGTTCAGTGTGTCGTAAGGAAAACGAGCGAGATTCTGAGCGACGGATTTCGCGGATCGCGGCTTTGACGATGGAGAGCTCGTTGCTCGTTGCTCGTGGAACAATTTCCATTTAACGTCCCATGCCACCATCGCGTAGTCGCAGTCATATACATCTAACACAGTGGAATGGCGCGCTATTACGTTGTGTTTAGTGTTAATCCTGATAAACGTTAGAATTAGGCCGTGTAATGCGCGCATATAAAGCTCAAACGTTGAGCGTTAAAATAGCTTATAATAGCGGTGCGATATTGAAGCTCGTACAGAAATTTAATTTAATGGATTAAAATGGAAATTTCTGCGATATGTAAATAAAAATTTTTTAATTATATATAAATATATTTTTCATAAATAAAAATGATTCTCCCGAATATAAAAACAGGAACATAATAAATTTTATATATTAAATATAACGCAATAAATTTTTTTATATTTAGCTAGAATTTATTTAGAAAAAATTTGCACTTTTTTATCTCTTTCTTTTTCTTCTCTCTCTTTATTGGTAGAATTTTAGTGTTACGACAAGGTAACATTTTTGAGCACGTCTACATATATGAAAAAGTTTCCTTTGATCCTCCGTGTGACACATATATGCGGTACTTACAATGTAGGAACATCATATTTTCTTGTTAAATTGTGACGAAAATCTTATATGTGTCAAATTGAGATAAAATTGAAACAAAATGCTTATTTAGAAAATTTATTCATATACACATCAATTTATAAACATTTTTATTGCGTAGATTTTTATATTTCTTATATATTTTATATATTTATATATAATAAAATTTAATATATAATGTATATACTGATTTTTATCGTATATATTATATATATTATATATTATATACATTATACAAATTTACACACACATACATATACACATTTATATATAATGCGAAGATATATTATTTTTTGTGGAGTGAAAATGTATGTATGTGACACGGATTTTTTCTATCCTATTCTATGAATCTGATAATCAATCTGTCATCTACTTACTGATAGATTTCGAATTCATTATTTCCGTTTAAAAGTACCGAAGTAATTCTATTCACACACCGAAGATCGAAAGCAGGGAAAGGAATACTCGGCGAGTAGGAAACGAGGCAGGAAACGAGAGAAGACGAATAAATTTGCGGCAAACCGTCCCCTCAAAACGCGGCATGCAAATGGCTCCTGGGGCAATTTCAAATTTTACGATTCTAAAAGTCGTAGGTGCGACATTCCCTCCTGCTGCTACTTCTACCTCCGTGAAAGTTACCCCTGCGGCTTTCCACCCGTCCTCTCGTTCTTCCTATCGGCGAATCGTATTCACCCCTCCCGTTAAAATGTCTCGCTAAAAAGTTCTCATTCGCGGAAATTGTTCTCTGCGCAATGCGTCCGAAAGAGGATATTCCCGTCACGTTCGCTCAATTATTATATCTAAACGAAAGCGCGCGAATTCCATCGTCGACTTTCTCCGGAACCATTCAAGTCGGAATGCTGGCGAAAAGAGCTCATTAAATATCCTTTCGGGAAAGTGTTCCTAGGTGCGACTATTCATTCATCCAGGATTCAGTTGAAATGTTGGACGCAATTTTAGATCATTTTATATAAAAATTTGATTTTGTATCATAAAGATCAATTATTAATTAACAAAATAAATTATATATTTAATAAATTATACAAATCATAACTTAGAATAACATAGAATATAAAATATATATGTTTTAATTAAAAATTTTAATTTTTAATTGATGTAAATTCTCCAAAATACTTTATATATTTTTATTCAAAAATTGTATTAGAAATAAAATATAATGCTTTTGTGTATGTGTGATAAAGTGCTTGGCATGTAAAAATATGGATATTTCTAATAGCTCGCAGTGTCCGATCGATCTTCGTCAATTCGTCTATATTTTTGAGCGGAAGAGAATGACGTTATCTTTAAATAATCGAGAAATGAATTCCGGCGCTTTTCCTTTCAGCCCGTTTTAACGAAATTTTAAGCATATCCGCGCGATCCAAGGTCGATTTCCATTTCCGGCATCTTACACAGCGTCTCTCCCAATTAAAGAGCCCGCTAAAGTTTCTTGTGCTGCGAACACCAATTTCCTCGCGCATCTCGCCAAAGACTGGATGCGCAATTCTCGCCAATCTAAGTTCGCGACGACTTTAATTATGCGTAGGCTACATCGAGCATCCGGAACAACGGAATAAAAAAAGAGAGAGATTGAGAAAGAGGAAAAGCGAGAATACAGGCACGTTAAATTCAGAGCGTTTTCCCGCGACATTAAGAACAGATAATATCGACCGACATTCTTTTGATCGGAGAGAATTTCTTTCGCATTAAATCCCTTGCCAATCGCACGTTCCGTCTTATTATCGAGCCATGGAACAATCACTTATTTCTCTTGCCTCGATACTGATAACTTCTCGCATTTTTTGCTCCCAATCTATTGTACCGCGCTACAATAGATATCAGTAGGACATTTCCAATCTGAGTATTATCTCTTTGTTCCTTATTATCCACAAAGATACTATGGTGAAACTGCAATTCGTCCGAGATTCTCGAATCGATCTCACAATCCATTCATCATATGATGTTATATTACGTTTATTAATGATATAACACGCGATTATAAACTCTAAATAAAGATTTTCTCTCTTTCACTAAAAGGTTTAACAGGAAATGTGTCATTATTGTGTTTTGATAACGCCATCAATAATAACGCGCGACATTGTCGATGAAATTATTAAATTTCTACCTTCAAATTTAATTTATCTCTCACAGAGAGCTTCCATCTAAAACCACTAAACGGATCTTTTCTATAGCCCTTTTTCGCGTTTGATGATAACTACCAATAACTGTTCTGATAACGCCGCCAACGACAACATACCTTCACCGCAATCCCTACTAACGGTCGCAATTTAAAACCGTTAAGCGCGCACAAACGAATCTTTCTTTATGGTGGTGAAATTTATATGATTGCGCTCGATTTTCGCTTTGCACCTACAGGAGCGCTTTCGTTTCACTCGCTAACTGAAATATTGCGCCGATAACGAGGACATATGCCGACTATACGGAAGTTAGGGTTCGAAAAGAGAGGAAACACGGGAACTATCGATATCTCGCATATATAGGGTAATGTAAAAAAAGAGATTCACAAATACAGAATGGACACATGGAATTTATAAAAATAGCCGAGCTAACATTCAAATAACATATTTTAGAAATACATTCAAATAAAATCATTTTAGAAATCTCATTAAAAATTCATTTTTAAGAGTCAATATATTCTAGATAATATAAAGTAAGCTGAGATTGATTAAAATGACTTAATCTGTCATTGAAATTGTTAAGCGTATAAAGAAATGCCAAGTGTGATTGTTCATCGTAGCTTATATCTAATCATCTTTCGCGAAGTAGAAATTTCGTATATTTCTATCAAAATTAATTCACCGACCTCTGACCATTTTTTGAAATCTATTTTCATGAATATTGCACTTTCTACATTTTTCGGTTCTTTTTCACGATCACCCTATACATTGTCCATCGTGCCGGGATCCATTCCGTCCAAGTGGCGAGCACGTACGTGTAATCTCGCCGCATACACGCGCGATTCCGCGCCAGATATCGGGGAGCACGACCGGAGAGCTTACGAGGGATCAATGGTCGTTCAGTGGCGTTTTATCCGTCCGGGTTTAAGCGTTAATTTTTGCGAATGAACTGGGTAACCGAGCCGCGAGCGCGGCTTTGGCAGGCGTGCGTGCGCGAGCGTGGGGCATTTATCGAATTTACAACTTTCCGGTGTGCCGCGTGAATTTATCGATGGGATTTGACGGAATTCGCGAACGATATTGAACGTTTCGTGTAGCTCGCGTCACGAGGTATGCGAGATTTCGAGACGTACAATAAAATGTAAAATATTTTATTTTACATTTCGAAGATAATAATTTTAGAGAAGCATACGGTATTTATATTTCTTTCGACAAGGGCCAGTTGGAAATGGGTTACAGCAATTTAATTAAAACGAAAAAATAATCATATAAATAATAGATTATTAATCCATTTAATGCGTATAACATGAGTAAATTAATGTTTGGCTTAAATTAAATTCTAGCACAATCTATCTAATTTATAGAAATTGTCTATCGAGTTTTAAAATTATAATAAAAAGAGATAGTACAAAGATAATTTACCTTTTAAATTAACAGGCAAAACTTTGTGTTACTTTGTGATTAAACTTTAAGAAGAATTTAAGAGTGATAATGAGATAGTGATTCACTCTTCCTTCTCAAAGACGGTTATGAGTGATTAGCGTTAACATTAATCATGTTCTGTTTCAGTTTTGAATACTTCAAAGATTCATGAATATTTACTTACCGATGTTATCATGAGCATAAATACGGTTTTAGCTCGCGGATTATTCGCGCATAAATTATTCGCGACGATAACGCGAGTAATTATTTAATTTAGTTCTCGCAGTTAACTTATACACGCAAGAACGCTTCTTTTTTTCATGGCTTTTTTAATTTTAATATGCATTCCTTTGTGTAGATTACGTGAACGTTGATCTCGCGCT